AGATGTAGGTCACGTGTCAATGACAACATAGTGAATGCAGTACATCCAGATTACATACTATGCCCTGTCCCAAATCGCACCTTAAACCCTCGAGGTCTTCCTCTGAGTCCACACTTTCGTGACATAATGCCGCTTCATGTAGAAGTCTGCCGCAGAGTTTGCCACGCATAGTGGCTGCAAAGGGGGTGCTCGCGAGCACCCTTCTGAAAGCTAAAATGACCCTATGGACCCTACGTTCTCGTGGACCTAATGGACACACACACGCGGCGGCCATTGTAAGTCCGCAAGACCATCTCTGCGTTCCATTCGGGAGGGCTCTTCCCTATGCCCTAATCCCTTCAAAGGGTTTACCCTCCGGAGTGAGAGCTTTGAAGGGTTGAAGGGTGTAGGGGACCAAACAACTGTTTCTTGAAGTGCCCTTCTGCGTCATCATCCCGTGCCCACACGGAGGCGCCATCATCATGGAAAGAATCAGCGCAAAGGATCATGGGGGCCAGAAGTGTCCCTCAGTTGTACCCTTCGAAATCCTTCATTCCGAAGAGCCCTTTGAAGTGGCCAGTTTTGAGCACTTCGGTTTGGAACGACCCTTCAATATGGTGGCCATGATTGTTTTCACTCCGAAGTGCCCTTCGGAGGGTGATATATCCCGTTTGAAACGCACCGCATAAGTGCACATGAAGTGCGCCATTTGGGACAGGGCCATAAAACACTCTGCGGTCATAAAGTAATTACTCAAAAAAGTACTTACAGAGTACGTGATTTTCGGACGCAGCCATTTGTTATGTTGTTAAATGAATCAATATTTGAACAAATCGGTTGAATATAGCTATGATCAGTGTTGGGGGTAATACGTTACAAGTAACGCAAGTTACGTAATCAGATTACTTTTTTCAAGTAACTAGTAAAGTAACGCATTACTTTGTGATTTACAAGAGAATATCTGAGTTACTTTTTTAAATAAGTAACGCAAGTTACTTTTTTCCAATTTATTGATTGACAGCTCTCCTGTTGAGAGAAATCAGATGTTACTGTAGTGCTAAAATAAATATGAATATGCATTAATTCATCTCACTCACAAAAAAAAACACACACAGATTCAGTATTCCTCAAAATGAATCAAAAAATGCAACTCAGAATATGAAGCAAACCTGCAATAATTAAACGTTAAACAACACAAATATCCTTTATGTATTTAATCCCATTCTATTAACCAATGTCTTTGCTTCTGACCTTCGATGATCCAGTTCAACCGTACTAATAAGCCAAAATTACTCTAGACAAACATTTGTGTGTCTTTGTTTATTGCTGAAGTGTGTTGAAATTTCTTCTTCTGCATTCTACTGTACGGACTTCAGCCTGAGGCTTATTCATTTCACTTTTGGTGTGAAAGGGCTTTTATATTTGCCAAAAATATAACTTTTTTATTTTAAAAACAAACAAGCAAGCCCTGTCCAGATTTAAAAAGTAACTCAAAAGTAACATAACACATTACTTTCAGCTTCCATAAAAAGTAACTAAGTAACGTAATTAGTTACTTTTTTTAGGGAGTAACGCAATATTGTAATGCATTACTTTTAAAAGTAACTTTCCCCAACACTGGCTATGATTTAACAACAAACTCTGTCCCTTGTCGTCGCCACCTACTGGCCTAAAATGTAGCCTAATCTGCAAAAATAGAAACGATAAAAAGCTGTTGTCTCAACATCAACATTGAAGTCATGTGAGCCTACTGTTACACTGTTTATTTGATACACTGTGGAAATGTCACGCGTCTAAAAGCGGAGCTTCCCTGCGAGAAAACACTACACATTCACATCTGAGAGATTAATTTGTTTTATTTATTTTAAATATGCTCAGTGAGGAAATTGTTTAAACTGATTTTTTTAAATTACCTATAATCTATCATTTTCTTTCTCCCTCCTTTTCCTGTAAAGCTTTGGCAAGGTCTACAAAAGGCACAGATGTCATGCTGATAAAGCAATTTGAATTATTTTCAAACAAACCGTGTCAGTGATAAAGTACAAGTGAAACATGCTCTAACGTCCAGCGTGGGCTCTCACATATGTAGGTTGCAGCTGGCGGGCCCACACGCGGTGGGCGACAGGGCGAGCTGTCAATAATCACCTACCCACGGGCTCGCAACCTGAGTATTGCAGGGGTCGGGCCCTCCCTCGCAGTGACGCATGCAGAAACGACCAAGGAAATCCCCAAGTGAGAGTTACGACAGACTCTCGGGGCAACTTCCGACTCGCGCTGAACACCGCGTACAAATCCACATGGAAGACAAATGCGTGTAAACCGAGTCCAAGCTCCGGACAACTACAAGGTAGGAATACGTTCCGTTGTTTTATATTTGTATATGTGATATATTTCGACTACAACATAACGTAATGTAAGCGAGAGCTTTGTTGTTGACAGGCGTGAACATACTCGAGCTCATGCAGTGCATGCGATCAGTTGTACAATGTTTAATCCGACTGTTTATCACGAATATTGATTATTGGATTTCCTTATCTAGAGCGTAAACGGTTGATGGCTTAATCTTCCTGTGTTTTACCCTCCCCAGGTGTTGTAAACACTGCTTTTGGATCAGTTTAGGTGACTAACATTTTGTCGGCGTCGCGGAAGTGCATACATTAGACAACCAACGACTTGCGGTTGTTTTTTTTATGAATACACATAGCGAAGTACAGCAGCAGGAGGACATGTACGGCATGGCAGAAATGCCCGACCTCATACCACCGGCAGGTGCATTACAACCCAGTCCAGTAATCCCGTACGACCGCGGACAGGCGGGGAGAAACAGACCAGACCTGTCTGCCCCAGGAAGAATGCAGCGAGCCCCCAAACTCGGACAGATCGGGCGGTCTACGAGAGGTGGGTGATATGAGCTTGTGTTATTATGTTAGTTTGTCATGTACAACCTAAAAAATGCTGGGTTAAATAGGGACAAACCCAGCAATTGGGTTGTTTTGACCCAGCGGTTGGGTTAAATGTTTAACCCAACCTTCTGGGTAGTAACCCAACCGCTGGGTCAAAACAACCCAATTGCTGGGTTTGTCCCTATTTTACCCAGCACTGGGTTGTATTTAACCCAGCATTTTTTAGAGTGTACAACCTAAGTTTTTCCTTTCAAAATCCTTGACCTGAGACCAAAATTCTAAATCAGAATGTGTATTTAAAAGCCTTCCCAGAACTGTACATTTAGGATATTTCCCTCGTTTAATCTATCTGAATTAACTCATCAACTGGGTGCGTCCAATAAAGGAAGCATCCAAAATATGCAGTGCTGGGGAAGCTCCAGGAACAATTCTGTTCTAATGTAACATATTCTGAAGCTTTCCCGCTACATTCACTAAACTTGGTTCAAATCTATATTTCTGTCCATACCTCCCCTAGTAAATACCCCAAAGCAACTACCAGAACATGCAAGCAACTATTTTAAAATCCCAACCAAGTCCAACAGGTTTGTCTTGACAAACATCCCTTTTCTAAGTTATTAAAAATAACTTTGAAGGGAAGTGCTAATCGTGACTAATGATGCATTCAGTCATATCGGAAAGATCATATTTAGTTGAACACCCATGAACGTCACCACAACGTCGTAATTACGAGTGGGAAACACTGGAAATATGTTTTGACACAATGGATGCAACATCTGTATTCATGGTAATTTTATTAGGAGTGAATACAATTTTTTTTGCATTTACATATAAAACTATAAAAAAGTTGCAAGTACGAAATACCATAGTATTGTACAGTTGCAAAACAATGTAATGATTAAATTTAAAGCAATTAAAACAAAGTAAAACCACACCCAACGCACTGTTTTTGTTAATATTTCGTAGATGTTGGGTTAAAAAAATCTTAACCAGCTTCCCAGGATTACTTGAACGTATTCTAACTCGTGGTGTTCACTTGTTTCCACTCTGTTGTCAAATGATACATTTCTTCTTTTGTTTTTACAGTGGTTATTGATGATGAGGACTTGGAAGATATCATAAACAATAACAGAAGCTTCCCGGTTTCTCAGAGAGTATCACCTGTTGCCTGATGCATGACTGACTGTGCCAAAGCTGTTATAAGGCCAACACACCAAAGCAGGCCTAGAGAATTGAACTAAAATCTCCCTCTCACATGTTGCCGTCACCCTTCACTGTACAGCTTTTAAGGCTTTGACTACTTCAAGGTCAAACGAGAGAACTGTGGACTTTGCTTTCTGGTCACTTAATGCTTGCCCATCACTTTACTGATGTCGTGCTTCTGTAGCACTAAATGATCCTGTCTGGTGTTCTCGGTTTTGGAAGTTTCTTTCTTGAAGTGAAGATCTTGATGATCTCTAATGCAGCAGGGCTATATTTATTAAATTTGCACTTTACTGCAGAATAAGAAAGCTAACCTCAGCAGGTCATATTACTCATCTCCAAAGAGCACATTTTCCTGTGAATCTCTGTTAACATGTAACATGCCATTTGGTAAGACCTTTGGTTACCTTGGTAACCAGGGCCTTCATGTCATGAAATTTCTCTGAATGACATCGATTACTTGTTAATTGTAAGAATCTTTTATTCGGTCACTGTTTTTATGTGCCTGTTGATTTTAGTTTGAATTAAAATAAGTACAATCTCAAATGCATACTGACTGAGATGAAAAATCAAATCTTTTAAAGTGATCTCAGATGTTGGTTGAAGTACATTGCTCTTAATTTTTTTGACTTCTAAATGTTTGCATGGAAATTAATGGATTTTTGTAAATTGTTTTGGGGGAGTGCAGTGGGGTGGGAGTAATAAAGTATGCATGAGTAACATTTTTGCATTTGTTAATGTTTGGATACAAGCGATTTGTAATTATTATTTTTTTTTCAATCAAAAAATGAACACATTTCAGGACATTGCAGGATGGTACGTTTGTAGTTGGTCAGTGAGATATATATATATATATATATTTTTTTTTCTTATATAGACCAACTCTATTTTTGTGGAATGTAAATAAGTCTTATTCAACAACCAGAATAATAACCAGCCTGATACAATGAAAGCCAACTTTATTGAAAATAAGCATGTAAAACAAATGTATAAACGATAAGCTAACTAACACTGCCATTATCAATGAGCTTTTATAAGTAAAAGATGTTCAGATAGGCTCATGGACAATAAAAATGAACGTGAGGTGGTGTGTTAATACTGAAATGTGTTAAGCAAATGAAAAAAAGAAAAAAAAAAAACGTTCAGGGTCTTCCTCGGCCATATGCAATTACATGATATTACTTAAGAGTGACTCAAATGAGTATTAAAAATGTTAGCATTTCTTTAGGATGAATACTCAAAAACAATTCTTTCAAAAAATCTGCCTCCATTTTGGGCAACACCCGCTTGTTGGTTATAGTGCTCCCTAATGGGCACTTTGAAAACACCAACATATATGACCCACTACACAAGTTTCTCTACTTTGACACAGAGAAAACAACCTAGCTGTTTACTTCAATGAAACACTGAGGGCTCAAAGCAATCTGTGAGTATTTGTACTGACACTAGATTTCTACAGTCCTCCATTTCAAAAACTCCAGTGAGTTTGTAAATACATTTTCTATTTGAACTTTTGGACAACAGATAGCCCTTTTTTACAATGGGACATTATACAGTCTGTAAACTGTTTTCTTTCTCAGTGACAGCTGTTTAACCTTCATTATTCAGTTCATTATTTTGTTGAAGAAATTCTTCACCTTCTGAAGTTGCTTCAGTGTCTGTCCAGTAGGGGGCAGTCTTGGTCACACATATTCTTTGTTGCTGCCGCTTGCAGACCGTGCAGTGTTACTTTTAGGATATTTTGACACTTGTTTACTTCCAGGGCAAGAGGCAGCCAACATGGTTCCACCGAGAACATCAAGAAATGACCCACCCCAAGCAATGAAAATGGCTGCTCCAAACTCAAACCTAAAGAACAAAAAGAAAAGGTCATATGGGAAATGTGAATATTATATATAT